TACACATTGATGTTTTTCTCCCACTCTTTCTCCTTCCCTTCTCCTCTTTCTATAAATAAATAAATAAATAAATAAATAAATAAATAAATAAATGCCTATTCAGTTTTCCTTTGTGTCCCCTCACTAAACTGTGTAATACAAGGCCAAACACATGAACCAAATCCTAGCAAGGCTAATCCTTGAAGTAATGGTTAATCCCCACTCAGACCAGATTAACATAAATTATTTATTGTTCCTTAGCATTGTAAAGATGAAGGCATGAAGGGAAAACAGTATCATTGCCTGTTTTCACTCTGCTTGGGAGGTTTCTATTAAAGGAGTCTTGCTTATGGACAATGACCTAGTCAAACATGTACAAAGACAACACTGTAACATCTGAATACCAAAGGGATTTCTGTCACCTTCCCACACTGACATTCATTATAAGCCTCCCAGGGATTTGTCCTGAGCAATTTAGTGTAAGACTGGCTTCCATTAAGAGTGCACCTCTGAGACATTCTAACTAAAGAAGACACGATTGAGATACCATCTTCTGCTTGTCGCCCCTAGCAGCTTTCTGGCTCTAGTCCAACAGCAAGGAAAGCAATCTGTCCCCTGGGCCAGGTCCTTTGATCCACAGGCTTCACATGCCATGACTTTCACACCTTCCCCAGAGGACAGTCAATGGGCAGCATCCTGACTTGTTACCATTACCATGGTCCCAGACCCTTCCCAGCCATGACAGAGAAGCTATCGTTGTGCCAGCTTAGCCCTGCATAGCAGCTCCTGCACACCCCACCTCCCCCACGCCTCCCCAGCATCCACCCTTCTGTTCCTATCGATGAGCTGTGCACCGCCACCTTCTCCTCAAATGCTATTACTGACTTCTTCCAAGAGACACATCCAAATTCCTTCCCGATTCTTCACTTCAGTAAAGTTTCTTTGTGTTTATGAGGCCTTCAAAATGTTGAACCAATCTGCTAGTAATTGTAGTGGGAAGCATGAGCTTATTACAAACAGAAAGGCTGGCAGATGGCGCCCAACTTGCTTCTGTCACACGTTATAAACTTGCCAGTGGACTTGAAGACAACCCAGCATGGTCACCTCCTGCTGAAGAAAGGAAACACGAGCCCAGTCATGACGCCTATAAAACGGGGCTGAGGCAGCACTAAAAGCATGTTGTTTTTTGTTTATTTTCTTCTCCCTTGCATCAGGGAAGCCCACACTATGGAGAAGATCATAGCAAACTTGAAAGAAGCCCATTGTTTTGAACACCCCAAGTCTACTTGTCAAGGATGCCCGGATGTGCTGCAGAGAAAAGCAATGGATGTGCAAACCCTAGAGTAGAGAGAACAGCTTCATTGCTAAGATCAAAGGCATCCTCGCTTTAAGATAAACAGCACAAACTAGGAAAAACAGACACTTAATCTACACAGGAACCACCCCTGAGGAACTAAGTGCTGTCAAGCCTTTGAGTAGACAGGTGGCTGTGGTCTTCTCCCTACTGATGTCGGCATCTGGGGCGGGAAACCTGCAGGGTTTTTGCTCACACTTCATTAGCCAGTCCAGAGGAGTCACAGGACGGTGGTGTCAGTGAAGTCAGCTGGGACCATTTTAGTTTCTGCATTGCCAGACCTCAGGTCCTTTGGCTGCTTAAATCAACAACCCTCCTGCCCAACACACTCACTTCCAACATCCTGACTGCTGAAGGAGGTGACAGCCGACTGACTGTCTGCCTCTTCCATCCCGTGGCCAATGAGCTGCATGAAACACATGTGGACTTTCCTCAGTGTTCCCAGCCCTGCGAGACTTGAAGTTTGTTTTCAGGACACAGTTCACACGAACTTAGTAAAAGCAGTCTGCACAGCTGCCCTTTTCTGAAGTCCTGGTACTAATTCTTTCCAAATGCTCTTCCTCATTTTGGAGTCTCAACTGTGAAATCTTAATACTCTCCCATCTGCTGCATCTCTTTTCACAATGTCTCAGGGAATTTACAGTCATGGGTTGATGAGATCAGAGATAAGGCACCTGGTTCCTCGGGTTAACTGCCATTCTCTGTTTCATACCTTCAACTGGTCCCCACCCACGGGCTCCATCTTCCCTATATATTGTCTTGTTCTTTGCTCTCATTGTGGTGATTGGTTCTTCTTTTTATTCTCCTCATTCTGAGGCACTGTGCATGAAAACACTGTAAATTCTAAAATTCTATACCAACGTCAGATACCAGTATTAGAATTTAAATCACCTGTTCCAATCTGTGGCTTGTGACTAGGACGCGTGTGCAGTGGGATCCACAGGTACTTGAGAGAAAAGCCCAGCTGTTATGAACAGTCCTACATCCTGAACTAAGGGCCCCATTAGCCCTTCTTGCCCAGAAAGGGCCAAAACCTACACAGGTAGGCAACACCCAGACACCTCCACCTACCTACAAGTTTCAGATGGAGGTTTCTTGAATGTACACTTAGCTTAACTGTCCTAGTTAAGCTAAGAAGCAGAAGAGATTTGTTTTCACTCTCCCATCTCGCCAATTCTGACATTTATTTTTCTCTACTCAAGTATCTCTCTGCTCTCTGCTATTCTCGGCGAGTTTAAATCTTTCCTCTTGGTGAACGCCCCAGTGCCACATGGAACAACAAGTGATGCTTTCAAAGTACCCTTCCCCCGAACTCCAACTCCATGCACTTAGGTAATAGAAAATGTCTCATTGATCTGGCCCACATGGGAGTGTGGCGAAACAATAGCAACATCCACATAGGCAATTTTATTTTCAATAACTGGGTAATTAATATAAATGGATAGTGGTTTAAAAGGTCTCCAGAAAGTTGCTTGAAAAATAAAACTTTCTGGAGCTCCCTTAACTTTAGTGGTAGCTCTCAGCTCTGACGTGCCTGTGGCAATCCCTAATCTGAAAAGCACATAACAGTAAAATGAGGTAATAAATACCCTTTAAAAACCAGATGGAGTGTGGGGCAAGTGTTGTTGTGACAAAGGGTGACATACAGCAGCTGTCAGAGCTGCTCTAAGGCATCCATTAAGGTTTGGCATCATTTACTTTTAATATTGATTAGATTATTTCCACCAGGGCAATTTGCTCACAGAAAACATTAATCTAGGGTCATTCAACTTCTTTTTAAGTTGATTTATTTATTTTTCTAGAAAGCAATCTAAGTTGTCCTGTAGTCTATTTGAACATTAAGAATAGAGACCATAAAAATATATTTACTAAATGGATTTAAAAAAATGTAAAAGCAACTTAATGTCTTCATCACAAAAGAGGAAGAGAGTAAGGCAGACAAACAAGAGGCCAAGAGGCAAAGATACAGGAAGGAAAAGATAGAGTTAGAGAGAAAAAACAGGCTCTAAAATACCAGCAACAAAGAGAGATACACCAAGGAGACAATGCAAATGTGTTAAAAACATGCCAAGGAGATGAAAAGAAAAACAGAAAAGACTAAACATATATGTCCAGTGTCACCAGACACCAAACAGATTGAAAAGCACAGAAAAGAAAAATACACTCTTGAAGAGACACTGTAGTGGCTTTGTGTGATGTCCACTTGGCCTGGATGAACTACATTTCCCAGATGTTCCCTTCCTGTATCTTTCCACTGACATGAGCCACAGAGACGCAGATGTGGAGGCTGGAGGTGGTGCAGCAGCCATTGCTGAAAGTCACACAAACCACTTGTCCTCTGGTTACCTCACTGGTATGAGACAGAGGCCAGGGCCACAACTGCTCTCCACCTTCTGCTAAATTCTTCCTCCAGTGTGCACTGTGTTGTGTGTGTGTGTGTGTGTGTGTGTGTGTGTGTGTGTGTAGCCCATGATGAAGGGCCTGGTTCCTGCAAGAAAGCCATGCCATCAAGGGAAAAGGCAGTAAGAGCTGATGCTTGTGGGTTCTGCTTAGTCCTGCTCTTCTCTGCTTTGCATGTATCTTCCCTTATCTTTGTGGACTTCAAGCTTTAGCATCCGACACAAAAAACAAGAGCCTCACAAACCTGCTAGTTAGCTCCCTCAACTGCATAAGATCAAACCCCACAATAAATTCCTCAATATCAATACACAAATAAATGAATCCATGAATCTGTGAATGAATGAATGAATGAATGAATGAATGAATGAATGAATGAATGAATGAATGAATCACCTAGTGGTTCTGCTTTTCCGATTGTAGCCTGACTGATACATACATATACCACAAAAACCAGGTTTCTAAAAGTTGATGGAACAATGCCCTGAGTGTTTAAGCTTTAAGAACTGCCAGGCTGCTAGTATAGATCTCCCCTTGTCTACCAGAATTCAGTTCAGAACCAGCATCCCATGCGTGTGAGTTCCCCCATCCCTGATTCATAAAGTAGTATTTTATCCATCAGAATATAAAGAGAGAGTAACTGGAAAGAAACATTCTCAACTAATTAGAATCTTCCTAAGACTTGCTTAGACATTGTCACTTATTTTTCTTAAACATAAATTAAGCATGTGACAAAAGTATTTAAAAAATATATGTTCTGACAGTTAATGTTAAAATTTTGTATCTCGTAATTTTTCTTTTTAAAAAAATTTTATTTATTTATCTTTAGAAGGGAAGGGAAAGAAAGAGGGAGAGAAATATCAATGTATGGTTGCCCCTTGTGGGTCCCCTGATGGGAACTGGCCTGCAACCCAGGCATGTGCCCTGACTGGGAATCGAGATAGTGACCCTTTGCTTCGTAGGCCTGTGCTCAATCCACTGAGCTACACCAGCCAGGGCTGTATCTCATCATTTCTAATTTTCAGTCTGAGTCACCCAAATTATCTTCTTCAAGTCCTCCTTATGTAAAGATTGACATCATTTGAAATTTATAAAATTTAATAATAATTCATACAGTGCCAGGTACTTTTAACCATAACAATTTTGCTTTAGGATTTTGATCAACAATAGAAAAACTCCCAGAGTCAGCTAGTGGTAGTCAACAGTCTTTCCAAAGTTCTTGCATTGGCAAAATGCATTTCTAGTATGTCCTTTTGAAACACCTGCTTACCTCTTGAAGTTGTCTTCAACTTCCTTGGGACACAAACAGAGCTGAAATTCATACCCCTGCATGACTTGGATCCATAGTCTGTAGTTCTGTCCAAAAAAAATATCATCTGAGTCACATATGTAATTTTAAATGTCCTACTAGTGGCATTTTCTAAAAAGTAAAATTAGAAAACAAAATGAATAAATGTATTTTTTGTACTTAACAATGTATTATATTTAAGTCAGGATTTCCAAAGCATTCTTTTAACATAATCCATTTAAAATTATTTAATAATATTCAAATATTTTCATACTATACAATCTTTGAGACTCATCATATATTTAAATTTTTAGCACATTTAAAGAGCTCACTAGTCACACATAGTCCAAATGTATGTTGGACAGCTCAGTTCTAGTGAGTCTGGGGGGTGGAGGGAGTGGTCAGCTTGAATGTATTCACTAAACTCAGAGAACAAAAGCACAAGGTAATTCCCACCTACTGGGGACTGTGAAATCATATCGGCCAGGAACTTTTCAGTGACCCTAAGGCCAATTTCCCTTCACTTAGGGTGGCAATCCCCTAAGCAACCTACATAAAACCCATCCCACCTCCTTAAAAGCAAGGTAGGGAGCACATTTGGACTGGAGAGCCCCCACACAAGCCCACCATGAAGACATCTGCACAGGCCTGCTTTGCAGGGTCTCGCCACAGATTCTACCAGGTGGTCAGGGGCTGACCAAGCCAAGCTGGTGAGGCTCTGCAGGAAGAGATCTTCTTCTGTCATAAGCAGGCCCAGCAGACAGGTGCAGAGTTGCATGGCTTGCACTGGCCCCTTTCATATGGTTGGAGAGGAGTTGTTTGGGGAGTTGAGAGGAGTGACACCACAGAAACGAGGCTCTGAGCACAGGTGCCAACCCGCCCAAGATGCCACACAACAGAGGTGTCTGACCTTCTGAGGAATGGTACGGGGTAGGCGGAGGGCAGTCAGGTACAGGGGCAGGGCAGTGAGAGCCCCTTCTTGGGATCTGACTCATATGTGAATGAGCATCTCAGGTTCACTCCAACCACAGAATCTGTAGGACCTATCAGTCATGAATGCCCCTGACCATTACGACAACAAAAATTATACAACAACCACAATTACAATAGGATATATGTACTAGAAGCTTGCTTGGCGTGTGCCAGCCACTGATGCAAGTACTTCTACAAGCACTTCTGTTATAGGTTGTAACTCTACAAGATGAATATTTAGTGCCCTTTTTAAAGATATAAGGCAACTGAGACTCCAAAGTAAGTAGTACAATGTCACTATAAAGTAGAGAATTGAAGTATAAACTCTCTATATGTGACCCTAAAAATTTACATCACAGATTAAGAGAAATGTAGAAGTTGCAACAGCACAAGAGTGAAAGGGGTTTCTCTTCAGGTGGAGAAGAGAGTAAGAGAGGTCCTTTTTCTTCAACATACTGCACATGTTGTTGACTTTCATAGTCCTTCAGTTTAAGCTCAGGACTTGGCTGCCTAGCTGAAGACTGCATTTCCCAGTACCCCTTGCAGTTACATAGGGCCATGTGACTAAGTGTTTAATAACATGTGATCAAAAGTGGTATGTGTCACCTCTGGCTGGAGCCTTAAAACTGTAGGGACACCTCAGCTTTCTTTTCCCTCTTCTACTGGCTGAAACCTGGGCATATGTCACTTGGTTGTAACCATGGAGATGATGACAGTACTCTATTTGATGGCAGAGTTATGAGTGGGAAGGAATTGGGCTACACCACTGACTGCGAAGATCAGAGTTTTTCTCTCTTCCAAGACGGCTGATTTCAAAAACATTACACAAGGGAAAGCAATATATATATACTTTGACCTTCTATTTTGGGGTCTTTTTAAATTTCAGCTCATTTCAATACTACATACAGAGAACACATACACTCTCAATTTAAAGCTATGGATGGAAGCACTGCAGAATATGGAAAGGCCTCCCCATCATCCCCATATCTCAGCTGCAAAACTAAACCAGGACAGTGGATCTCTTCCAGTAAGGAGAGACCTCAAGGACTCTGAGTGACCAGAATTTGGAGGAAATCTTTTCATGCTTTATGCCAGTAGATGTATCTTAAGGGAAGAATTATGCCTGTAATAGGTACATTTTATGAATTCACAGAGATAAGCTAGATATAAAATTAGGCAATTTGTATTCCATATTTATAAATAAATATAAAGTATACAAAGCTATATGATAAATATACAAAATTATGCTAAGGCACCTGATTTAATGTTAAGATGTATTTTGCTTCTTAGTCCATGGATTTCCAGAAATGCACAGAGAGAATATTATAGCTCCTACCTTTAGGCATGTCTAGAAATTAATGTAAAACCATCTGAACACTTCTGCAGAAAATGAATTCTTCATTTGAGATAATTGACTGGAACCATATAGTAGTCAACTAGTGCTAGGTAATGACTGACCCCAAAGCCCTCTCTAGACAAGAATGACATTTACTTATCACTCACTGGTCTAAAGATAAGCTGTGGCTCAGCTCGTACCATCCACTTGGCTCCAATGCACAGGTTGGGTTCAAGTTAACTCTACATGCCTCCTCATTCTTTTTGAAAACAGCCGACTAACTTGGACATGCTCTCCAAATGCAGATGAAAAGCACAAGAGAGTGAAGGGAAACATATGCTACTTGCTTCTCATGGCCATGACACTTCTACTAACACTCCGCTGGCCAAAGCAATTACTCAGCATTGAGTAAGGGGCAAGGAAATTTATTCCAGCCCTAACAGGAAACTCTGCCAGTTTGCATGGCAAACCAATAATAACCCAATCTTTCACTGGCCTGGTGTAATCTGTCTAATTATAAGACTCATGCACTTCACCCTGACTCATGTTGCTCTGAAATATTATTTTGTTTTTCATATGTATGTACCCATATAATCAAAACAATATTCTTATGAAGTAGGTATCACTGATTCCACTTTACAGATGAGGAGCTCATTGAAGTTGCATAACACAGCACTTGACAATAATCAAAACAATACTCTTATGAAGTAGGTATCACTGATTCCATTCTAAAGATGAGGAGCTCATCAAAGTTGCATAACACAGCACTTGGCATTGTGTCACCAAAAGGTGTTCTCTGTATGAACAGCTCAGAAGCTTCCCCCAGCACTTACTGTGTGAGGGGCACCACTCAAAGCATGGACATCATCTCAAGGACAACCAGTCAGTGCACACATAACTGTTAACTTGAGCTCCCAGTCCAGGTCAAGTAAACAACATTCTCAGTCAATTCAAATTTTGCATGTCTTGCTTGATGAACAATGAGCTATTTTACAGCATCATAACAATTCCCAGTCACACACAGTCCACCTCCTTTTAGTCATTGTTACTTGTTTTGGCTTTACTTGGCCAACTCTAAGACATATTCTTTCCTTAAGAATTAATAATTTATTTATTTATTTTTGCTTATATGGATACCCACATATAATGTCAGAAGTTATGCTTCCTGCAAATATTTATTGGTTAGCTTGTCCTCTGAGATACAATTTCCCCCTTTTGGTGAGTTGGAATTCTAGATTTGAGGTAGCATGCTCTATTTGATTATAATTTTGAATATTTGTTGTCCTGTTGCATCTGTTTTAAAGACATTTTAGCTGATTCATGCCACTAATGCAATATAAGTAGAGTGAGTAAAACTGATTGTGATAGCTATTTTCTGAAACTAGCTATCACAATCCTGGTGAATGGAGAAAAGAATAGGAACTTTTGTATTAATAAAAATGTTGGGCAAGCCCTGACTGGTTTGGTTTAATGGATTGAGCAGCAGACTATCAACCAAAGGATCACAGTCCAATTTCCAGTCAAGGCACATGCCTGGGTTGCTGGCCAGATCCCCAGTGGGAGTCCCTCAAGAGGCAACCACACCTTGATATTTCTCTCCCTCTCATTTTCCTTCCCTTCTCTTCTCTAAAAATAAATTAATAAAAACTTTTTATTTATAAAATAAATAAAAACTAATAATTGTTCAAATTGAAAAATACTATAAATCAATGAAACTATTCTTTGACCAGCATTAACACTGGTCTAAACCATTTTTTGTTATTTCCAAATGGAATACAAGGCAAGATGTCTCTGTGTGTGTTTTTGTGAATGCAGGATACTTCAAACCTCATCTTATGTATCTTATCAACAAAATGGATGCCACCAGTTGATGTAACATATTACATTTTTCTCAAACTATTTTCTTATTTTTAAAAAAAGTTCATCTTAAAATAATTTCTGCAGTATGTTTCCTCTCGTTAAGAACAACCTGCACAGAATCTGCTCTGTGTAGGAGAAGCTACTCAGCTGGGAGTGCTCTATTCATTGGAACCAACAGACAGCTGCTCAGTCATTGCCACTTTTAAGAAAGTAACCAATTTTCAGTACCTATGGATTGGTATTAATATCATAATTTTTAAAAAGACTATTATATAAGTATCAATGCAAAGTTGATTATTTTATATACAAGGCAGGACTCCTCAAAAACAGAATTTATTTATAAAATATTATGTATGTATTTTTACGTGGTTAAACTTCAGTCACCTTCAAAGTGCTCTCCATTTGTTGCAATACACCTATAGAGATGTTTTTTCCACTGCTCAAAACAGTTTTTGAACTCATCAATTTTGATGCTTTTTAGTGCTTCTGCTGTTTTTTTTTGTTTGTTTGTTTCATCTCTTCCACATGGGCAAAACAGTTTCCTCTGAGGAATTTTTCATCCAGGGAAACAAAAAGTCACCTGGGCCAGGGGCAGGTGAATAAGGAAAGTGGGGCATGAGGATCATGCCGTTTCAGACCAAAAACTGCTGACCACTCAGTGCAGTGTCGCTCGTAAATCACCATCAGGATGTGGACAAACGCGTTAGAGTCCTCAAGAAACAAAATTCTCTGAAGCCCAACTCAGCCTCTCACAACCATGCCATCTGATGCTTGATACAGATGGGTTGGTTCCTGGAATACTAACTCAGCAGGGGAAGCCTGTACTGCAAGCAGCCCACCTTCCAGGAGGTAATTTAGGGATTTTGGGGGGTTCCCATTCATGTAACTCAGTACTTTTAG